GCTATTTTTTGGTTGCAGCCATCATTGTTGTTTGGCGGGCCGGGCTGGATTTGAACCTGCCACCTTAAGTGTATGTGGCTGGCACCTTATCCACTTGAGCCACAGGCACCGAGCCAAGACATTTTGTTGACTATGCAGTCCTTCTGCATTAATTACAATATGAGTATTCTTTGAAAACTTCTCACATTTATTTACATCCAGTCTAAACAGTTAAACTATAAGAAACTGTGTTCCTACTCCATTTGACATTTACAGATTTCTATGGTTAGAAACAAAAACACAAGCAAACCTAAGTGACTCATCTGTGTTCCCTTTATCTCCGCTGATCTCACCTAGTCCTTAAAGCAGGGCTTGTTGCCTTTCTTCATCTTGCCCTTTCAGCAGGTGAACCACAGTTGCAGAGGTGGCACTCAACTATAAAAAGGCATAGAGTTTGCTCTAATTTTTTCCCACGCATCAAATCCTAAAGGAAACTGCCATTGACCCTGACAAAATTATGGAATGAGATCAGGTGCCATGGCTCATTGAGGACTGTAATCCCAGTACTTTGGGAGGCCCCCAGGTGGGAGGATTGCTTCAGGCCAGGAGACTGAGACCAGGCTGGGCAAAAATGCGACTGTACAAAAACCAAAAAGTTAACTGGCTATGGCAGCACGCTTTCTCAGGAGGCTGAAGAGGATCACTTGAGTTTGTAGTGAGCTATATACTGTAGTCCAGTCAACAGAGAAATACCCTGCTTCAATTAAAAACAAAAATGTGGAATGAATTAGTTTAAGTGAGTTGATTAAAGGACTGACTAGTGCTTTAAATTAACAACTATGAAAGACCTTTTGTGGGTGGGTCAATATTGCTGCATTCTTGACAGAAGCAGGGTTCTCTAAAAACTTTCTGCAACCATTTATTTACATATATTTTAAACAGTTAATGCTAGAAAAAATATAAAGTAAACAGTTCGTGACATAAGGTATCTTAAAAAGCAAATGTGGGAATTGAATTCCCTTGTAACTCCAAGGCTCTAGTTAAAAAAATTTTTTTTCTGTTGGTGTTATTTCTATTTTATTCTATTGATAGACTCTCATGAGTTAGAAAAGTGACTTTAGCAACTCTATGAAAATCAGCAATTTCTTGAGAGTGTTGATGAGAAGGAGTCAGTTTTTCACAAGGAACTGGCTTCTGCTCAGCTTTCCTCGCTCCCTGAGGTAAGCAAGCAGGTGTTGTCGTCTCCTCCACGTGACCTTTATCCCATACTTGTTCTCAGGTGTATCTTTAACCAGAACAGGCCCAGGCTCTGGGCTGCTGGGAGTATTAGTGTGACCAGAGCAGTATGGAAGGCTGTTTTCCTTCTGATCTTGAGGAACAGATTCTTCCTTCACGAAAGATGACTCTGGGGTCTGGATGTCAGGTGGAATGAACACATAAGGTAGACTCTGAAGTGCATGTATTGACAGGTCCCCAGAGCTTTGGGGACTGAGCACTGGAACTAAGAGTCTTCTAGAATTGTTCTTTTCTTGTTGATTGGGGCACTCCTTGATTAAAGGGCTCTCCAATGTCTCTGAAATGGAAGAAGAATGTAGACTCTCAAAAGTTAGATGTGGAAATTTGGAGGTGCCAGATTTTCGACTTTTACGTCTTGCCTGGTCTCGGTGATGACATTTCCGGTAGGCTAGGGACCAGCTTTCTGCTGCTGTATCAAACTCAGGAGATATCTAAGGATTAAAAAAGAAAAAACAGTGAAGCAAGCCAACTACCAAGTACTAACCTTATAGTGAAAACTACAGTGAGAATCCTAAATCGGGGCCCACTATAATAATGAACACAAAACCAAAATAGCTATCTACTAGCATAATAACAGAAAGTTTTAGGCAAGATACTCCATCTCTCTGGTATTGTTTGCCCATCTGTAAGAAATGAGACAATAGGCTCGGCGCCTATGGCTCAAGTGGCTAAGGCGCCAGCCACATACACCTAAGGTGGCGGGTTCGAATCCAGCCCGGGCCCGCCAAACAACAATGATAGCTGCAACCAAAAAATAGCCAGGCATCGTGGCGGGCGCCTGTGGTCCCAGCTACTTGGGAGGCTAAGGCAGGAGACTTGCTTGAGCCCAGGAGTTGGAGGTTGCTGTGAGGTGTGATGCCACAGCACTCTAGCCAGAGGTACAGCTTGAGGCTCTGTCTCAAATAAATAAATAAATAAATAAGACAATACCTCTTTTACTTAATAACACCATATGGCTGCAACTTATTTAACTATCTTTAAACTTCATGAGGGGAGAGACTAGCAGTCTTGTTCACCATTGATCTCTAGCATCTAGCAGATGCCTGGAACAATGAAGGCCCTCAGTATATAATAATGAATAGCTGACTCTAACAGTTGGGAGTCAGATCATGTGCAGAAAGCAACTAGCAGATGACCTGACCTGTAATGAGTATTCAGTAAAAGTTCATTCCTATTCTCATCCATAGGACTCTAATGTGTAAGTTTCCTCCACAATCCCCAAACAAGTATTATGGTTCTTCCAAGAAGTTCTGAACAAGTTACACTTATTAAACACATTTAGGTTTGGCACCTATACCTCAGCAGCTAGGGCACCAGTCACATCCACTAGAGCTAGCAGGTTTGAATCCAGCCCAGGCCTACCAAACAATGACAACTACAACCAAAAAATAGCTGGGTGTTGTGGGGGGCACCTGTAGTCCCAGCTACTTGGGAGGCTGAGGCAAAAGAATCGCTTAAGCCCAAGAGTTTGAGGTCGCTGTGAACTGTGACACCACAATATTCTACTGAGAGTGACAAAGTAAGACTCTGTCTCAAAAAAAAAAGTAAAATAAAATAAAAATAAACACATTTAAGCAGTGCTAATGCTTTATCTGGCCCTTTTGCTACACTGCAGGGTACCCCAAAGGTTGCCATACATACATACATAAGGAAAATAGGAAATTAGGTAAATGTGCCTTTATTTACAGATATTCATTATAAAATTGTACAAAACATTTCTCTATGTGTGATATATAAATATTAAAAATATGATATAAGTTTGTTATTTTTTCCTGTTTATGGTAATCTTTAGGACACCTGTACTTCCTTGCTATATAGTGGTTATATTCTCTTCCCAAGGCTTTTAAACTGTCAAAATATAGCATATGACATATTTATAGAGTACCTAGCTAAATACTCTACCTTTCACATGAAGTTGGGGGAACAATCTCACTTTTTTACTCGTTCTCACATTTGTCTGGATTTCTCATGCAGTTACTGAATAAAAAACTTTTACATTGAACTCTTTGAGAGGAATGGAGGTGGAATAGTACTCCAAACGCATCTAAGCCATCCTCAGTTTGTACTGAGAAAAGAAGATATACAAGAGGGCTATCCAGAGACAGAAAGAGTACCTTACCTCCTTGTCCCTGCCCCCATGAATCTTTTACTCTTTGGAGGCTCTGGTTCGAGGACAGAAGCTTCAGCACTGTGAAAAGTCTAACAGTAAGGCTCAGCGCCCATAGCTCAACCGGCTAAGGCGCCAGCCACGTACACCTAAGGTGGCGGGTTCGAATCCCCAGCCCGGAC